CTTCCTCTTTCTTCTGGTGGTCGACTGGATTATGAAGACCTCGAGATCTGAAGGAAAACACGGAATACAATGGACAGCTCAGAATCAATTAGACGATTTGGACTTCGCAGATGACCTAGCCCTCCTATCACGTACACACGAACAGATGCAGATGAAGACAGCCAGTGTAGCAGCAGTCTCTGCATCAGTAGGCCTCAGCATACACAAAGGGAAAACTAAGGTCCTCAAATTCAAAGCGGAGAACAGCGATCCAATCACTCTTGATGGCGAAACTCTGGAAGATGTAGAGTCATTCACATACCTGGGAAGCATCATCGATGAACAAGGAGGTTCAGATGCAAACGTAAAGGCAAGGATTGGCAAAGCAAGGGTCGCATTCCTACAATTGAAGAACATATGGAACTCAAAACAACTTTCAACCAATATCAAAGTGAGAATCTTCAATACGAACGTCAAGGCAGTTCTACTGTATGGAGCTGAAACTTGGAGAACTACTACAACCATCATCAAGATGGTGCAAGTATTTATAAATGGTTATCTACACAAGATGCTCAACATCCATTGACCGGATACCATCAGTAACAGTGTACTGTGAGAGGGAACAAACCAACTTCCAGCTGAAGAAGAAATTAGGAAAAGACGATGGAAATGGATAGGACATACATTAGGCAAATCACCAAACTGCATCACGAGGCAAGCCCTAACTTGGAATGGTGAAGGGAAGCGGAAAAGAGGAAGGCCAAAGTACACATTACGTCAGAAAATAGAAGCACATATGGAAAGAATGAATAAGAACTGGAAAGGATTGCCCAGGAGAGGGTTGGATGGAGAATGCTGGTGAGCGGCCTATGCTGCTTCACGAGGAGTAACAGGCGTAACTAAGTAAGTAAATGGCGTATGAACCAATTGTTGGTCACCGACTACCATGGGACTGCATCTCTTGATGTTGCTCCACTGCCTTGCGGATCAGATTTTTAGATTGAAGGCTCCAGGTGTGGCCTTTTAAGAAAACCACCTACTTCGGTTTGGGCACCCGGACAGTATCTCAGCCCTCACAGAAAATGAATGATTTATGTGGCTCATATCTATTTCGTGCCTCCTTGCACCTATATTTATGTGTTTAAATAAATATAATGTAACATCAAGAGTACAACAATGATAACTTTTACTAATACATTTTTTGTAGTTTTAAACAATCATAAAGATGAATTAAGAATATTTTTTGTAGATATACTTCATGTTTCTTACCTATATTTTCTTTTTTTTGCACATTACTCTATTATTGTACAATAATTCTTGACGAATATGTTTTTCTACAATGTACTTTCACCTCCTGATAATAAGGGCGACCGAACTAAGAGCTAGGATCTCGATCTTGAATTCCAATATTCCTTCATGTATATCTTTTTACTTTTCAAAATATATTCGAAATGTTTATTTTTTCTCATTATGATTGTGACTACATAAATTCAGTTTCTTTTGTTATGGATCCTATTACTTTCATATCGTTTTGTCAATGTGATTTGATAATGTACATTTGTGTTATGCTCTATGTTGATTAAATTCGATAGGACAATACTCACATTTGGGTCATTTCATAGTGATACAGTAACCATAAAAAATCTTTCAACCTATTATTGTAATATAATTTAACGTCGATGTAGACAGAAAAAATCATTGACCCACATTACATTGAGAATATAATTTTTTTTGATTTTTTGAATACAAAATAAAGATAATTTTGTCGTTATCATCTATAGGACGTCATAATTTTCTTTGACAATGGTCTATTTGGTTAAGCGCCTGGCGTGAGACTGATAGGTCCTGGGTTCGAATCTCGCGGGGTGCGGGATCGTGGATGCGCACTGCTGATGAGTCCCATGCTGGGACGAAACGGCCGTCCAGTGCTTCCAGGTTTTCCATGGTGGTCTAGCTTCAATTGACTCATGATTTCAATCTGTGAAATGAATACTCCTCAAAGACTTTTGTTTTATCTTCATATGGTAACATTGTCACAACCTGTATATGTGTCATCTAGTGAACTATGGTAATAAGTGGTTGATACAATTGCAGTCTAGTATGGAAAATTACATAATGTGTCGTGTGTATTAGTCATCCTATACGCTTTATAAGTATGTGTATGTTAGTGCAACAACCTTTCCAAGGTCATTCTAATTACAATCGGTTGACGCAATAAATTTTCTCCTTTATTGTAGCCAATAAAAAATCAATTTAGACCATTATGTAACAAAATGTTTGAGTAGGATTTTACACCAAAAACCGGCATACAATCTTTTTGTGCAGTGACTAGTCATTTTAATAATAACATGAAAATTTAATAAAAGTAATAATAATAATAATAATAATAATAATAATAATAGTGAGGCAATACTATGGCTAATTAAAAGCTCTTGTTTGTACTTAAACAGCAACATAATTTGTATTTAAACTGATGAAACTATTTGGTTGTTTAAGCTATAGCGATTAGAACTAAGTATGAATATGTTACCAAGCCATCGAAAGTTATAAATTCATTTCTAGGGATGTGTCATCTTTCCTAATTAATTTGCTTATTCACTTTATATTATTGTGAGAATTATATGTATATACTAGTCGCTGTGATTAATTTTCACTCATATTTTTTTCTATGGTTCCCTACAAGATATCGTTATTGTTACCCACTAAGTCTGCATCTGCTACTGTTGACCAGTTCAAAATGTATATGACTTCACCCAGTGATTGTACGTTTAAATTTCATTGTAGTGATTAAAATGTAAATCGATTATACGTAGTATCGTAAATGAATAAAATCATTATTGTCGCCGTATGTAACATGTTTAAAATGTTAATTATAACTTTGAATCAAAAATTAATGTGTTGTCGATTGAGTTATATTGGAATTGTATTCCATGTAGAATTTGCTATACAGGCATGCTTTTAACAAGAGTTTGTAAAATGTAAACCATTGCATTAAAACAGGCTAAGGTAATTAGTTTAAATTAATCTCAGTAGGCTATTTTAGGTAAATAATGGTTAACAATGATTGATACTTAGTAACTAATGTCAAATTAAACCCATCACCTGATTATCGAAATGATGATCATACCATTAACCGTAACGTTGAAAAGATGAGTTACCAATCTATTACAAGGTTTCTTTTAGCTAAAAATAAAACCAGATATCGTACTTTTTTGATTTGTCATATGAGAAACAATTATTCCAAAAATAAAAATAAAAATAATTGTGGAACCAATGTACCTTAAAAAAATTGCATATATAATTTCTTTTCTATGTTTTTTAAGCACTAGTTATACCTACATCACATTTAGTATTCTCTCATGATAAATCAACGCATCACATTGTTAAAAAGTAAAATTTTCCAGTGATTAATTTTAAAAGTACACTTGATTTATCTTTAGATATCAATCTAAACTCAACAATCTTCACAACCTTATACTGATAATTATCATATGCTCACTAGTGACTAGCTTCAAGATGGATTTCCTGGAGTTCTAATAAGAAACCGTGACCAGTGGAGTTCAACCGTATCTTTAAATTGTTAGGTACATATAGTACGATAGCAGTAAAACTTCTATAATATATTTAGGAAATTGCCAATTGATATAACTAATACAGATAGAACGATGGGAGAATCAGTGTTTATTTTTCTATGTCGTACAATATTTTTGTCAAATTATTTTATTACACTTTACTGCATTGATAAGTGGGAAAACTCTACTTCGAAATTGCGACTCAACCAAATAGAAAGAATTCTGAAAGTCTATCTGTCAGAAGAATCTTATTATTAGGATTATTTAGAATTGACTTCTGCTTGAATAGTGAATAACATACCAGTACGACTCCGTACATATTTATAAAGACAATACTTTTTGATAGAATTTTTTTAAATATCTCTGCCTCTTTTTATATCGGCTTCGGCTTAAGTATTTCAAGGGTAGTATTTTAAAACATTAAGTGTAGCTCAAACACCAGAGTGTAGCTTATTGATATGTATAGTAAACACACTTACTGTTCCGAATAACAGAAAATATATTTTCCGCCCCTTTTTTAATTCCAGTTCAGTAATAGACCATTATAGGTCTTTGTATGAGATGTGAAGTTCACTCTGTATTTGGTTATATCAGTCAGCTAATACTAAAAGCAAATATTTCACAACTAATAGACAATGTCAAAAGAATTTGTCAATGTTCAACTTTTATTTAAAGCATATGTTTAACATTGCTTCAAAGCGATTAGTGCATGATTCGTTATAGAAAAAAAACATTGTTAGATTACTTTTATATATTATTTTAATAGAAGATCTTCTGAAAATATTATGCGAAATACCCACCGTAACAATTGTTAGAGTCTCATTATTCAAACTGATTTACCATATTCCAATGAAGTACGATATTTATGCAAAATACAATGACATAGATGATCCCAAGTCTTTGAAGAGTTACTCAACAGACCTATGGATTGTGACTAACCATTTGCTTATGAGGCAAAATACATCAAGATAAAAGATTGTAAATGTTTGGAATGTAATACATTCTAACGCCTTAATAATAATCTATCAATCAACAATCCATAAAAAACTAGCAGTAAAGGGTTGTGAAGATTGTAAAATTTCCTTAAAATCATAAATCAATCTAAGTTATATCACAACTGAATACTTATAATTACTAGATCATCGTTTTGTTTAAATATGCAACTACTCAATAGTGAACATGAACAATTTCGTACGTGGGAATTCAACCAAAGACACAGGATTCATAACAAGTTTAGACATTCAATTTCTAAGTTATATTATACTATTATGAAATAGATTGTATGCATTTTATTATATTCTTAGTTTAACTATCAATTTTATTGAAGCAAACATTCACTAAGCAAGAAACAATTAAGATATGATAATATAGATTGAAAATCTATCATAGTTATATTGTCTAGACTTGAAATTCTTTTTTTTTCTTTTTTTTTATGTTTCTATGTTACAGAATGTTATTCTTGATAAGAATGAAAATGAAGTTTTCTATTTAACATCAAATATTTCACAACAATTGACACAAACTATCAATAATTCCCAAGGTGAGTTCATTAGTATCATATTTGAATATTTTATTTTAAAACATTAAATTCAATATAAGTTTCCATTATTGAGATGGTGGAGGAAATTCGTAGCTCAGGTGAATGATTTTATCTGAAGTTTGTACTGATGATGTTGTTCAGAAGAACGATAAAAGCTCCATAACCAAACCATCCAGCTCAGAGACACAAAACTCCATCAAAAAAATGTTTCCATTATTATTTACTTTATTCATTTTATTTCTTTTTTTTTCTTTTTCTTCTATCAATTACTATTTTGAGTAGTAATATTATAGAAATCAAATCAATCAATCATATCTCACTATAGTCTTATTACATTGTCATAATCATTTGAATTTGTCTAATGATTATGAAAAAGATAAATCTACATTTCTAATTATTCATAGTTAAAATCAATTTTAAACAAAAATATTTATTCACTTATACAAATTGTTGTTTTGTTAAATACCTTAATAAATAAATAAATGAAATAAATTTGTATCATTCATGGTAATAGAATTCATTGATGATCATTGAAATTATTGTGATAATACTTACTTACTTACGCCTGTTACTCCTAATGGAGCATAGGCCACTGACCAGCATTCTCCAACCTACTCTGTCTTGGGTCTTCCTTTCTAGTTCTGTCCAATTTTTGTTCATTTTTCTCATGTCTATCTCCATTTCTCGATGTAATGTGTTCTTCGGTCTTCCTCTCCTCCTTTGGCCTTGAGGATTTCATGTGAGGGCTTGCCTTGTGACGCAGTTGGGTACTTTCCTCAATGTGTGTCCTATCCACTTCCAGCGCTTCTTCTTGATTTCTTCCTCTACTGGGATCTGGTTTGTTCTTTCCTACAGTTGGTTGTTGCTGATAGTGTCCGGCCAACGAATCCGAAGTATTTTGCGTAGACAATTGTTAATAAACACTTGTATCTTCTGGATGATGGCTTTCGTAATTCTTCAGGTTTCCGCCCCAGTAGACAGTAGAATTGTCTTGACATTTGTATTGAAAATCCTGACCTTTGTGTTGGTTGACAGTTGCTTTGAGTTCCAGATGTTCTTCAGTTGTAAATATGCTGCTCTTGCTTTGCCGATTTGCGCCTTCACATCTGGATCAGATCCACCCTGTTCATCAATGATGCTGCCCAAATATGTAAAGGTTTTTACATCTTCCAAATCTTCTCTGTCAATTGTGACTGGATTGGTGCATGCTGTGTTGTATCGGAGAATCTTGCTTTCGCCTTTGTGTATATTGAGACCTACGGCTGCTGAGGCTGCTGCTACACTGGCTGTCTTCTCCTGCATTTGTTGTTGCGATTGCGATAGGAGAGCCAGATCATCTGTGAAGTCTAGATCGTCTAACAGCATCCTAGCTGTCCCCTGTATCCCGTGCTTCCCTCCAGATGTTGACGTCTTCATGATCCAGTCGATCACCAGGAGAAAGAGAAAGGGTGAGAGTAAGCAGCCTTGCCTGACACCGGTCTTTTTAGCTCCATGCACAATTTTGCAGTATAATCCATCATAGGAATTCCGTATGATATTAATTATCTTCTGAGGCACACCGTATTGTCTAAGAAGCTTCCATAGTGTTGTCCTGTCCACGCTGTCAAATGCTTTCTCATAGTCAATGAAGTTGATGTGAAGTGACGAATGCCATTCAATTGATTGTTTCACAATGATCCGTAGATTGTGATAATAATGAACAGTGAATTAATTCTGGTTAGCGTGTTTTTAACTAGTTAGTTTTCCATAGGATGCAGTCGCCGACCCCATATCTAACCCTCCTCCTTTACCCGGGATTGAGACCAGCTGTAACTCTGGGAGAGTTACAGGTGGAGTTAAACAGTGAATTATACTAGTAAAAATTGATTTTTAGCTCGCTAGTGAAGTTCTTAAGGTCCTAGACAAAACATATAATCTGTTCAGTTAGAAATATTAAAATCAAGACAACAACAACATTGTGTACTAGTCATAGTGTATTTTAAAAAATGTGGCTAAAATTGAAATTTTCGAATCAACTCATTAGCTGGAAAATATTATATCCCTTCTTTAAGAATTAAAAGTCATTGATTTGATTGTTTGTCCGAAGAGTCTCAAACTGGGATGAAATAGTTATCTAGCCCTGCATACTATTCAATCGTGTATTCTTTTTTTAATTGAAATATAAGTTTGATAAGTATCATGTTGTTTGATTGGGGAAAGTCTTCAAATATATTTAAAGCAATATGACCAGACCGTCGTTGCTATCTTGACGTAGTGATCGGGCTTGCCTATCGTGATGAAGCAACCGAGCTATACTGGCTGGAACAACCGTTCCTCAAGGTCCTACCATGTCAGACAGGTCGGTTGAAGAGCGGTAAACTAAAAGCAACAAAACTAAGGTCCGAAGGCGAAGTCGTACTGCTGACTGTACAGAGGTGTGACAGCAGTAAGGTTTTTCCTTCAGACAACCAGCATGATTGCGATGCTGCCATCCTACAAGGAGGGGTGGGCGGGGTTAGAAAAGATCGGTCCTAAAAATGCACACCTCGCCTTATCCCACGGATATCCGTCTCCGGTGGTAAGGTCTGAACAAGCTAACATAAAAATTACCCATAAAAAGGTCGTGTGTGACCGACTTCATGCAGTTGTCCCTTGGGCACTGTGGTCACGCTCTCAGGTCACTAAGACCACCTCTAATTCAATTTCCTTTTCAGGCACCTCCAGAAGAAACCTTCCACGGTGTGGGCAACCGGGAAGTGATAACCGCCCTCATACCTCTAACAACACTCAAGAAAGCAATATGAAAGGATAATAGATTTTCAAAACGGTTAAATGTCAATCTTTTTGCTCGTCACTTGACAATTAAAAATGACTAAAATACTTTGATGAATTGTTTGAACCAACAAACACTTGTAGATAGCTAAATGTGTTCAAAAATTACTAAACATAATAAAATAATCTCTCTTGTGTTTGTATACATGTAGAAAACTATAGAGTTGTAAAACTAACTCAAATTTGATGTCAAAACAAGTTAACAGATAATCGACGGATTCACAAATGCTTTCTTACGACCTATTTCATTTTAATTCATCACTTTACGGTGTCAGTAAACTAATATTATACTGTAGCTAAATTCGATTATTATTTCACTCCCAATTATATTTACTGGTTTTACTCACAGTTGTAAAAATACAAACAAATAAAAGGTGTTTTGAGTAAGGTGTATACTTCAGTTATGTGGCGCATATGTATTTGGTGTCCGTTTGTACTAATATTTTGTAGTATTAGCTTGGAAGTACACAAACATTTTGCTTGTACAATAATCAGTTCTCTGATATAAACAAAACATAAAATCGATGCGTTCCTATAGTTACACATAGTAATACTCATATCTTATTTCCTATGCTCAGAAATGCTTTCGATCTAGAATTCTTATGCATAGCCTCTTTTTGTTAATCTGATGATTTTGCAAGATTATTTTTCAATTGTATTATCGATATCCTTTTTTGTTTTATCGATATAATGCAGTGAGTTACTTTCGACTAATGTTTACCAACTACTTCATACGTATTTCTTATTCTTAGGTTGACTGAAGATGTCATTCTGTAATAATTGTTACTTTTTAATGGCTATGAAACGTTTCATTTTATTACACAACAGTTATTAACTGTGTAGAGGTACTACTTATCAGTTATTCATTTTATTTGATAAGAACCTCACTTTATTCTTAAATTGTTATGATTTAAACTAAATGTATGGAAAGTATTTCTTTCGATCTGATCATCATACTTATCCATATATGTATACAATATCGAGATTTAGATTGTATATATGTATGGGACATACAAATGACATTGGTACTACGTATGTTCTTGTTCGAAGTATATGTTGTTTTATAAGATGCATTTCTGACTGATTTAAATATCACATTTTTAATTCATCTACTAATTTTTTGATACATATCACAATGTGATAATTTTTTTTAAAGTTACGCAACCTATCTCTCCCGGCAATGACAATACAAAGAAGGCAATAGTATCAACGGTTCTGAATGGGAACGATTCAGCAGTAGAGTCTTCAGTAGTACAAACAGTCAGCAGTTATATCATTAGAAATGAAACACCATGTAATGTTTGTGAACCAACTAAAAATGGTCAGATTAAAGATTGTCCAACAAATCATTCTTCTTTTAAATACGATCGACGTGATAAAGGTGGTCCCATTTCTAGTCATACTCGGTTACGTTATTCTAAACGTCAACAGGTGAGTGACAACTTTGCCTCCATGTTATTTAGTACCATAACACACGTTTATTTAAATTATCCCCGTTCTACTATTACTAAGCAAAATGCTTATTACCTAAGTAATTGTAAAGATATTTTGTTTGGTAACGTACTTACTTACTTACTTACGCCTGTTACTCCTCGTGAAGGAGCATAGGCCGCTCACCAGCATTCTCCATCCAACCCTCTCCTGGGCAATCCTTTCCAGTTCTTATTCATTCTTTCCATATGTGCTTCTATTTTCTGACGTAATGTGTACTTTGGCCTTCCTCTTTTCCGCTTCCCTTCACCATTCCAAGTTAGGGCTTGCGTCGTGATGCAGTTTGGTGATTTGCCTAATGTATGTCCTATCCATTTCCATCGTCTTTTCCTAATTTCTTCTTCAGCTGGAAGTTGGTTTGTTCCCTCTCACAGTACACTGTTACTGATGGTATCCGGTCAATGGATGTTGAGCATCTTGTGTAGATAACCATTTATAAATACTTGCACCATCTTGATGATGGTTGTAGTAGTTCTCCAAGTTTCAGCTCCATACAGTAGAACTGTCTCAACGTCTGTAATAATGACTCTGCGTTTGATATGGGTTGACAGTTTTTTTTGGTTCCTTATGCTCTTCAATTGAAGGAATGTGACTCTTGCTTTGCCAATCCTCGCCTTTACGTCTGCATCTGATCCTCTTTGTTCATCGATGATGCTTCCCAGGTATGTGAATGACTCTACATCTTCCAGAGTTTCGCCATCAAGAGTGATTGGATCGCTGTTCTCCGCTTTGAATTTGAGGACCTTAGTTTTCCCTTTGTGTATGCTGAGGCCTACTGATGCAGAGACTGCTGCTACACTGGCTGTCTTCATCTGCATCTGTTCGTGTGTACGTGATAGGAGGGCTAGGTCATCTGCGAAGTCCAAATCGTCTAATTGATTCTGAGCTGTCCATTGTATTCCGTGTTTTCCTTCAGATCTCGAGGTCTTCATAATCCAGTCGACCACCAGAAGAAAGAGGAAGGAAGAGAGTAAACAGCCTTGTCTGACTCCGCTCCTTACTTGGAATGCATCTGTCAGCTGTCCTCCATGCACTACTTTGCGCTGTAGTCCGTCGTATGAGTTCCGGATAATATTGACAATCTTCTCAGGAACTCCGTAGTGTCGAAGAAGTTTCCATAATGTCCTCCTATCTACACTGTCAAATGCCTTTTCATAATCAATGAAGTTGACGTATAATGATGAGTTCCACTCAACTGATTGTTCGACGATGATCCGTGGTGTCGCGATTTGGTCTGTGCACGACCGATCCTTACGGAATCCAGCTTGTTGATCTCGAAGTTGGACGTCTACTGCATCTTTCATCCGGTTCAGCAACACTCTGTTAAAGACTTTCCCTGGTATTGACAGTAGTGTAATGCCTCTGTAGTTTTCACATTTGCTCAGATCTCCTTTCTTTGGAATCTTGATGAGGTGTCCTTCTTTCCAGTTGATTGACACTTGTTCCTCCTCCCAAATCTTTTTGAATAGAAGATAAAGCATGCTTGTGGTTGCTTCGATGTCTGATTTCAGTGCTTTAGCTGGTATGTTGTCGGGTCCTACTTCTTTCCCGCTCTTGATTTGTCTGATGACCGGCCATTCTGATTTCTTCCGTCGTTGGTGGATTGACATCTATAGGAAGATCTGTGTGTGTTGCTTCGATGTCCGGTGGATTCATTGAAGCCGGCCTATTCAGGAGTTCCTCGAAGTACTCTACCCATCTGTTCCGCTGTTGTTGAATTTCGGTGATTGGCTTTCCTTCTTTGTCTTTGACCGGCCTCTCTGGTTTACTGTATTTCCCTGATAGTTTCTTCGTTGTATCTTAAAGCTGTTTCATATTTCCTTCTCTAGCAGCTTTTTCTGCCGTCGTTGCTAGTTCTTCCACGTATTTCTTCTTGTCGACTCTAATGCTCCTATTCACTTGTTTGTTTGCTTCTATGTATTCAGCTTGTGCTTGGACTTTCTCTGCTCGTGTTCAGCTGTTGTGTATTGCTGCCTTCTTGTTCTTCCTTTCTTTGATCTTGTGCAGTGTTTCTGTAGAGATCCATTCCTTATGATGGTATTTCTTTAGACCGAGAACCTCTTGACACGTTGCAGTTAATGCTTCCTTGATGCCTTTCCAGTTGGCCCCCGAATGCCCTGGTACGGTCGAGAGTGGGGTGAGTCCGCTCTCCCTCTCGAAATACTCTCACACGGTCACGCGTATACAGCCTCTGCTAGGGAAGTCCTACTCATTGCCTTCTCGTGGTGGGGGTGTTGTTTACGGAAATGAGAGGATGAAAAGCGAATGTCCGGCACTTTAACCGGATCCCAAACCAAATCAATGGTGCACATGAGCTCCAGTATCCTGCGGGAACAAATGGCGTATGAACCAATTGTTGGTCACCGGCTACCATGGGATTGCATCTCCTTACGATGCTCCATTGCCTTGTGGGTTAGACCTTTAGGTCAAAGGCTCGGGGAGTGGCCCCCTAAGATAACCACCTGCTTCGGTTTGGGCACCCGGGCAGTATCACAGCCCACACACAAACGATGAACTCTATGTCTATGGTAACTACTTTTTTCGCTCCGAAAAACAATCAATCGATTCAAATAATTATCATTACTATTATTGTCATTATAAATACTATTATTATTACTATTATTGTCATTATTATTATTATTATTATTATTATTATTATTAATATTATTTTCCACATTATTCACCCTCTTTTATACTTATACAGCGGCTCGTCTTTGGTGGAAATCCGACTGTATCTAAACGTTCTCGAGTCACTGTCCGGTCGAAAATTGTATGTTACCATCGAATATGAGTACTGAAGCAGTTTTTCTGAAACCACGTGCGCCATTCAAACTGGCTGCCTTCAACGTTCGCACACTTATGCAGGTTGGTCAACAGATAGGGCTGGCTATGTCTTTGGAAAGTCTTAATATTGATGTCTGCTGTCTATCCGAGACCCGTATTCAAGACTCTGGTGAAGTACTACAAATTCGCTCTCCATCTGTCACTTCAAAAAGCTTGTTTTACGTGCGCTTATCCGGGGATCCTGTGGCATCTTCGTCTGGTCTTGCTGGCGTTGGTGTCGCACTAAGCGCTAGAGCTGAGGCAGCACTAGTCGATTGGATCCCCGTTAACAGTCGGTTATGTGCTGTTAGATTAGAAAGTTCCATCAAAGTGAGGAGAAATCGGCGTGAGAAACGATATCTTTTCGTCATCTCCGCCTATGCCCCGACAGATTGCAGCCCGGATGCAATCAAGGATGAGTTTTACCACCAGTTAACTGTTCTTCTCCAGAAAGTGCGTTCGACAGATATTGTAGTACTAGCCGGAGACTTGAATGCTCAGGTCGGGCGTCTAGGCACAGAAGAGAGTCGTTTAGGTGGCCGATGGGGACTCGTTGGTCGCAGGTCAGATAACGGGGACCGTCTACTGCAACTTTGCACAGACCACAACCTGTTTCTGGCTAGCACTAACTTTCGGCACAGTCATCGCCGATGTGCCACCTGGCGTCCTCCCTCTGCATCCCAAGCCTGAACTCAGATTGATCACATCGCGATCAGCTACCGCTGGCGTGGTTGTGTAAAAGACTGCCGCTCCTTTTGGAGTACCTATCTGGACTCTGACCATGCCTTGGTCTGCGCCAATCTTGCCTTACTCTTCAGTGGACAACGAAGTGACCACCACCAAAAGATTGATGTTAGCAAGCTGGTTGCAACTTCTGTTGCAAGTAAGTATCGAACCGAGCTAGCCTCTAGGCTAGCTACTACTCCACCGAAAAGTATAGATGAGCATTGGTTGCAATTGCATGACGCCATGAAAATGGCGGGAACAGTCAGTTGTGGGTTTGCGAAACGTCCCGCTTTTAAGCACTGGATTTCTTCTGGTTCCTTACAACTCATTGAAGCCCGTCGGTCTACTCCGGGTGACCGTGAGTTTGACCATAAACGAAGGAAGTTACGTGAGGAAATTGGGCAAAGCTTGCGTAAGGACCGAGAAGCCTGGTGGTCGGAGCGTGCTAATGAGCTGGAAGCAGCAGCTGCATCTGGTAACTACCGGAAGCTCTTCCAGCTCATCCGAGCCACTGGCAGCAAGAAGTCTGGTGTGAGTGAAACAATCTGCGAGGATGATGGGATGCCAATCACTAACATTCATCGACGTCTTGGACGATGGGCAGAATTTTTCGAAGGGCAGTTCAACTGGCCTGCTGCTCCGGCAACATCGGTCAGAGTGTCCTGCCCTCCATGACCGGTGACGACTGATCCACCAAACGAGGAGGAAGTCCGCAAGGAACTCCAACTCTTGAAGCGTTACAAATCACCTAGCCCAGATGACTTACCTCCGGCTCTTTTTAAAGATGGTGGTGACTTTTTGACTAAGGAATTGACGACGTTGTTTACAAAGGTTTGGGAACTGGAGAGTGTGCCAACGTCATGGAATGAGTCGATAGTTGTCCCTATCTTTAAAAAGGGTTCACGTCGTTCCTGTAACAACTATCGGGGGATAAGTCTACTTCCGATTGCGTCCAAGCTATTGGCTTCCGTCATTCTTCGTAGGTTGTTCAAAACCCGAGAAAGATTGACTCGCGAGGAGCAGGCTGGTTTTCGTTCTGGTCGAGGATGTATTGATCATATCTTCACCCTCCGCCAAATGTTAGAACATCGCCATACTTATCAAAGGCCAACAATCGTAGTGTTTCTTGACATCAGGGCTGCCTTCAATTCGTTGGACAGGACTGTTCTCTGGGATTGTCTATTGAAGAAGGGTGTGCCTGAGAAGTTTATTAACATCCTAAAAGCCCTATATACAAACACCTCAGGCAGAGTGAGGGCATACAACCACCTCTCTCCATTGTTCCATTCGAGTAGTGGGGTTAGGCAGGGTTGCCCAATCTCACCATTCCTCTTCAACTTTGCCATCGATGACATTCTGGAAACAGCTCTGATATATGTAAATAATGGTGGTGTGGATCTGTTGCCTGGAGAAAGACTTCTGGACCTTGAGTATGCGGACGATATTGTCTTACTGTGCGATAATGCCCAAGGCATGCAATCCGCACTTAATCAGTTGGCAATCAGTGTCCGTAGGTATGGTATGTGCTTTGCACCTTCGAAGTGCAAATACTTCTACAAGACTGGCAGGATTCCAATCCTGTACTCACCCTGGATGGTGAGCAGATAGACGTAGTCGAGAAATTCGTGTATCTGGGTAGCTGCATAAGTGCTGGTGGGGGCGTGAGTGATGAGATCAATGCACGTATAGTGAAAGCCAGAGCGGCTTATGCCAATCTGGGCCATCTTTGGCGCCTTCGTGATGTTAGTCTGGCTGTAAAAGGTCGGATCTACAACGCGTCGGTGAGAGCAGTTCTGATCTATGCTTGTGAAACCTGGCCTCTCCGAATTGAGGATGTTAGAAGACTCTCTGTGTTCGATCATCGTTGTCTCCGAAGGATTGCTGACATCCAGTGGCAACACCATGTCAGTAATGCAGAGGTTCGGCATCGTGTGCCTGGTTGCAGAGACGATAATTCAATTGGTGTCACCACCTTGAAACACTGACTTTGGTGGCTTGGACGTGTTCTACGAATGTCGTCCCAGAGAATTCCACGTCGTGCATTATTTGCCGACTCTGGGACTGTTTGGAAGAAGCGGAGAGGTGGTCAGTGCATGACATGGTGTCGTGGTATGAAAGAAAGATGCAAAGGACTGGCTTGTGTCGGTTTTTCACGACTCCCTGGTTGGGGTCCGAGAGATGGTGCTACACAGTGGCTAGAGACGTTATCAGATATGGCTCAGAATAGAAGCCAGTGGCGATCCTGCTGTAACCTTCTTTTACTTTCTTCATAAAAAGTGGTTGTGTCTCCCTTACCTGAAAAATTTCTTCCGATTGTACCTTTGCGTTCCCTGTTTACTAGCACATTACCTTACACCAATCTCTTCGTTATTGTTCTCTCTTTTTTTGTGCTCCTTAGCTTCTTTTTTTTCTTTCTTTGTATTCCTCTTCGAATATTCATTGTTCTGTGTGGCGCATACATATTGGCGCTCTCTTGTACCAATATTCATGTGTCCAAATAAATAAATAAATAAATGTCCTCCATAGTAGTTTCTTCTTTCAGTAGATCTTGTAAGGCTTGGAACCTGTTGTTAAGAGCTATCTTGAATTCATTGAGTTTGTCAGTATGTCGAAGGAAGGCTGTATTGAACCTTTGTATTGCTGTTTGTCCAGTTGTCCAGTTCTTTTTTAGCTTCAGTTTTAAATTGGCTACAACTAGGTGGTGATCTGAAGCTACGTCAGCACCTCTCCTGGTTCTCACATCTTCCATTGTCCTACGGAATTTTTTGTTGATGCAAATATGATCTATTTGGTTCTCTGTAGTGTGGTCCGGTGAGATCCATGTAGCCTTGTGTATACGCTTGTGTGGAAATATTGTGCCTCCTATGACCAATTTGTTGAATGCACATAGATTTGCAAATCTTTCTCCATTTTCGTTTCTTTCTACCAGTCAATGTCGTCCCTTAATATCTTCATATCCGGTGTTGTCTATCCTGACTTTGGCGTTTAGATCTCCCATCAGAATATTTAGGTCCTTCCTTGGGCATTTCTCAATGATTGACTGAAGCCGCTCGTAGAACTGATCTTTAATTTCGTCGTTGCTATCATTGGTGGGTGCATAACATTGGATAATATTCATTAAGATCCCCTCCTTCTTTGTTTTGAATGATGCTTTGATGATTCTGGATCCGTGAGATTCCCATCCTACAAGTGCATTTCGTGCTACTTTGGACAGCATTAGAGCGACTCCCTGAGTGTGTGGAGCATTGTCCTCTTCGTGACCGGAGTATAGCAGCATCTCTCCCGTAGCTAGCCTTTTCTGTCCAGCTTGGGTCCAATGGGTTTCGCTGATTCCCAGTACTGCTAAGTTGTATCTCCTCATTTCCATTGATATTTGACTGGTCTTCCCGGTTTCCCACATTGTTCGAACGTTCCATGTACCTATAAAATTTTTTACTCTGGTTGTTAGAAGGGGCATTGGCTTCGTGGCTTCCGAAGGAACTCGGCTTTCACCATGAGGCGTCATAATTCTTCTAAATGAAGACCTTCTAACTCCCAGGGTAGAGTTAAAATGGTTTGGGTTATTTTTTCTGGTAAACGTTTTTTTTAGCGAGTTAGTTTTCTACGGGATGGGGACGCTAACCCCATGCCCAACCCTCCTCCTTTACCCGGGCTTGGGACCGGCAGCAACCCTATAAGAGCTACAGGCGGAGTTGTTTGGTAACGTAAGTGTAATATATTCTAACTGTATTTTTGTCGGCTAAATAATTCATGAGGGTCAAAAACTACTGTTCGAAATAAATTATCGTAAGTGAACAAATATGCAGTAAGTTTTTCTCTCATGAGACGTTTAATAACTTATTAAGATTTTGTAAATCTAGACTGAGTGTAAAGAAAATGTTAATCTGTATCTTACAACTACCTAGCTATATTTTAATGAAAAACTCTGTTTTTCACAGAACAGTTTTAGATTGGATGCATGATTTTTATATTCGTACAGAAACCTTCGAAGTTTGTTTCTTAAACTTGAAATAAATCTCATGTTTCCTAACTGATATGATGAAGACAACAAAACTGATTTCTGAGGTTTGGAAATTCAGATAAAGGAGTTTAGCTACTCATGAGTAGTGTATTAGTATATTACAATGAGAATGATTTTTTGTTCGAAATCCACTAGTTATAAAATGTTTCGTAAATACTCTTTCAAAACTAATATTTGAATTTAAATAATTTGGGGTTATTATTCATTAGAAATACTTCCAGGATCTGAATTCAACTACTTTACCGTCACAAAAATACTGTTAGACTATGTTATCATTCGACCATATATAATGAATAAAACCTCTTTTAAATGGAATCAAACTAAACTTTCAAAGTAAACTTTTTTTTTATTTTAAGGAGTCACTGATGCAAAGTAATGAAGCTTTCTGGTTTCAATCGAATCCGGGACATTTTTTAGTGTCATTAACGCTGTATCTTATACTTTATCCAACCATAAAACGTCTCTGTTATACTAATACGACTTGTATGCAAACAATTCATTCACGGGATAGTAAACATTATTGTCCCATCCTGATTGATAATAATAACAAAATATGGGCAAAAATCACTCTCTATGCCTTCATTCATTTTTAATTCAGAGTCGCTTGTTACATATAATCATCCGTAATCAAACTGATTCACTCCATAGAACATTTTGCGTAATAACAATAATAATAATAATAATAATAATAATAATAATAATAATAATAATAATAATAATAATAATAATAATTTACATGATATAGAAGCAGCTACCAATTAAATTATAACGCCGAACATCTATTCGATCTGCCAGCTTTCTAGCAATTCAAATATATTTGATGTTCAAAATACGTAACAGGCAGGGGAGCATATATTAACAACATGCCTTGACAATCAATTCATTTAAATACTGTTTAGAATAGTAGTCATTTATGGATACTAATGAAGAGATTTCTCTCTTCAGTACTTTCATGAAAAGTTAACCGATTTATTACTAACATATCACTTCTGCTCAAATATCATAAGTAACAATTTTTTAAAAATATCTATGGTCGAATATTAACCATCTTCATAAATCCTCTACCTTTTGATAGAGCAACATTTACAGTCTTAAAATAATCCACGAATAACTGGTATTCAGTATATCCAGAATTTGATTAGTAGACTATTAACTTGCTTATAATTATAATTAGAACAAATTGGGATAGTTGGATGATAATTTGGTATTCATTGAGTCATAGATCTGTCTTCTAATATAAGTGAACCTTTTTAACAGTTTATCTAATTTTAGATTACCCATTGATATAGACTGGTTCTGAAACAATATCCATATTTAATCGTTCATAACGATATTACCTACATAATTGCATCAAAGTTACACTATACAAACATAGTTTATTTATTGGTAAATGCATAACATACCATGAACAGTAATCGAAAGTACTTTATTCAAAAGAAAACTTGGACGATATTTACAAGCAATAATTTTTTTGTAAATGAATTAATTCATTAACCGATGATTCCTCAAAGTGAGGATCCATTAACATTTAATTAACTTCATATCACTGTTTCTCATTTTGATATTTGGTGTCATGCTGAAAACTTACAAGCGTCTTCTCAATCGCATATATATATCGTTAATATGGCTATCTTTAATAAGTTCGAAACCTCATTCGCCCCATTTTTATTATCAGTTTTATTATTATTATTATTGGCTTTATTCAATATTATATATTTGGTACAAAGTAAAATTCTCAGCACAAATTATTTCGAAAAGTTTCATTTTCTTCTTTCTTGATAGATTCTTGCGATAAATATTGAATGGTCTCCAGCTAAATGTTATTAGTTCAGGAATCAACATCTGAATAATGTATATTCTTTTCGATGCATATTACCAGCATTTACGATGTCTCTGATTAGGCGATTCTGTAACTTGGACAGTGAAATGTCGTAAACTTGTCTTAAACATTCTTGAATCAATTATGCGACTAATGGGCATAATGATGTGTTAAAACAAACAATAAAATAGATAACTTGTTGAAATATTCAGATGGGCTGAACAGGTAGTCTAGATATTCAAGCAGATCTCACTAGGTGTTCTTTTAACAATGTATTAACCAGAAAATATGTTACCATGACTAATAACATTAAATGTTTTAAGTAAAATAGTAATAATTTTCTATATAAAATATTGTTTTATTGTTTATTTTAACATCTTAACTGATCAATTCGATCATTTCGATTACATTTAATTTTAGATAGAACATGATAGAAATGTTCATAGTAGTTCTGGTTATATAACACCAGATTCATATTTATCAGAAAATTGTAATAGATCTCAAACAAATGGATATCATAGTCAAAATTTCAATCAATACCATAATGATAAAAAGTTGATTAATCAAAGAAATCATACACAACTATTATATCATCCTCATAAAAATAGTTTATATAATGAAGATATATCTAATAAAATAACACATGTTGGTGTTGCTTTGTGTATGCCTTCAGAATGTACTTTAAAATTACCTAAAAACTTTCAAACTTCATATAATTATCAACCACAAACAAATACACATTGTCAAGATTCAAGTATAACATTTTCTACTGATTATTCAAGTGAAGATGTCAGTAGAAAAAGTGAAATTCGGAATATAGATACATTGAAGTATATGAAAATGAATTCACATAAGGATACTGTTAAATGGGAGGAATTAAATTCTGATGATTTAATAAGAATTAATCAATTAAGAACAGTAAGTCAAAATGAATTAATTCCTTCTTTTGTTCTCAACACATACTGATTACATCATTGTTTCTATCAGTTACATATATATATCTTAATTCCTAGTTTGGTGGAATTTAAGTTTTTGAAAGTTCATTTTTTCACCTCAAGGACTCTGTTAAGAGCCAACATAAGATCCGGTAAAAATTAAGATCTAGGACCTATCCAAATTGCCTTAATTCTGTTATCTGTTATTTTGTTAATAAACGATGGCTCTTACATGTATAAAAGATCGTAATATCATTTTTTCTTGTTCATATTTCCACAATAACCTTTGCTGTTTTTGATTAATTGTTCTTACTTTTAGTTTACTAATTCTGTTTTGTTCCATGGTCATTGTTAGTAGCTATATGTAAATATTTTGTTCCTGTATAAATTTTTCTTTTGAACACTATGGTTCCCTTGGACTCCTACCTTAACTTTGTGTTTCATTGCGTTGGAATTATTGTTGACGTGTTGTGTGCCAATCATTCGTTCCATTGAGTTTACGTAGATCTGATTATGTATCATAAAAATATCCTAAATCAGTCTTAATTAGTAACTATTGTAGGCCCAATCGCAAACTGAAAAAAATTCACAATTCACCGTCGCTAGATAGGAGGTGAAATAACAAAAACTTTAAAGATAATCATGCACTAAACGTAAAGAAAACGTGATTAGAGTAAAACGAATTAAGTTTAAAGAATTTAAATGTATTTAATAATAATCGTCATCAAGCTCAAACTTAGGGTAAGATGAAGAGTTACTCCATGTGAAACAAGTTTTAAGCTATTTCTTATTAGATCTTTAACGACAAATTGAGCTTATTATTTATCTATCAATCAGTAAGTCTAAACCCCTGAATACTGACTTGAAATCAGTAACATTTGATGAGTTCATGTCAAATCCTAGTAGTTTTTGTTTTCTCTTTACATACTTTCAGGGGTCTTATTTGCTATTTTAACTTCTCAATTTTAGTTATAAATGGTAGTTTAAGACATTTTGAACTTTTTCAATAGTTGGGATAATGAGTCAATTGAAGTTAAATCACCTGGAAGCACTGAACATCCGTTTCGTTCTATTGTGGCACTTCTCGATATTGCACGTTCACAATCCCGCCTCGTGAGATTCGAACCCAGGTTTTCCATGGTGGTCTAGCTTTAATTGACTCATGATCTCAACTACTTAAATTACTATAATATCCACAAAATCCCCTTCTGACATTTTGAACTTATCATTTATTTTAAGTATCATCTGTTTGTGTAAACAAAAACTAACTTTGTTAAAAAGTTTATGGGTATCATGTTAACCGAATACTGGATGAAAAGATATGATTTATAAAAGACTATTCTATTGATTTCGATAAATCAAGACCATTTCGTCTTAGTACCTTTTATATAATCTTCCATATTTAGACAACATAATGATGATAAACATTTTATTCATTTCTTAGGAGTTCTTAATCAATCTTTCTTATTAATAATGATTTTCATAGATAATCGATAAAGAATTAAATATTCGTCTACCAATTAATCCAAAACACTTAATTATTGAATTGAGTACTGGTGTTATTTTAATTCAGTTACTAAATAAATTTATCGGGACAACATCAACTATCAAAGTGAGTCTATTTTAACTTGTGATTCATTCATTTGAATTGATTGATTATACCATCAAATGAAAAACAGTTACATTCTCCATTCCTTAAATAAAAATTGATAGTTATTGTTTGGATTGTTATTACATGTAACAATATCTATCAAAAGTATCTTAAGCAGAGACGGGTAGTAGCAAAAGGTGGAATCCAAAATGTATGTTTCATCCTGTTTAGGACTTGTCAAATGAGTGTACCTCCTTCGGAGTTGATGCAAACTCTGGTATTTAAACTCAGTGCATTTCGCTGCAAACTCCAATGCGTTATCCATTATCTTCCTGAATCTAGATAACTACTGGTTTGTAACTTAATGGCAATCTGGACACAGTCTGCACAAACACTGGGTTCGAATAACAGAATGAATATTAACTTAGGGAAGCAGGTATATATAGAAGACAAGTTCCAAATATAACAAAACGTGCTTCCTGGGTTCCACTGCTAGTTACCTTCTATCTCTGTTTAGAATGCTTGTGACTAAGTAGCGACATCGAGACAATTCGCGCTAAGTGCACATATGCCGAAAGAAGCTGATAAATTTCATTCTTAAACGTCAATGTAAAGAATCAAACGACTAAGACAAATAAATATGTATCAAAGTTTTATTAACTTTGGAGAGTTTCTAACAGTGGGATCAAGGAAGGGTGTTTCATTCTATTTAAGCTGGTTGATCGAATTTACTGGCACCTCAGTGTTCATGTATACACTGAGATTTGAATCCTACCTTTCACTCCAAGCATAACGCGTTATCCAAACAGCCATTAGGTTATGAATTTTATTTGAAAATGTTTAGATCTTTTCATTGTAGATGTTAAGCACTGCAGATGATCAGTCTTCATTATTATATATATCTCCTGAAAGGATTGACACAATATTTCTACTAACCATCTTCTGAATGAATGGAAATACTGAAACAGTTCACCTACGTTGTTCGTATGCTATTAGCGGCTAATCAATTACAGTCTTTAGCGTCGATAACGGAGAGATATAAACCCTCACAAAATAGTCTGAATCACATTGTCGAGAATAAAGAATGCTCATACTTAGTCATGAAGATGATATCTTGATGCAGTTATCACACTTTACAGTGAAACACTCGTGAAATAATATCAAGGCTAAGTTAGTTCCAAACAATATTTTAACTGTACTGCATTATTCTGAATAGTTATAAAAACAAGAGAATACACCCTGTTCTACTGATAAACATAGGGAAGGAGCTGTATGAGTCGGAAAATAAATAGCTATTTGGTGGTGATGAGATTAATCCATGTATAGTGAAAGCCAGAGCGGTTAGTCATAATCTGGACCATCTTTAGCGCCTTCATGATATCAGTTTGACTATAAGAAGTCAAATTCACAATGCATCAATGAGAGCAGTTTTACTCAATTTTTGTGAAACCAAACCTCTCCAAATTGATTATGTCAAGTGACTCTCTGTGTTTGACCATCCTTATCTCAGAAATATTTCTGACATTCATTGACAATACCATGCTAGTAATGCGGAGTTTTGGAAATGTGTGTTTGAGCACAATGATTATGATTTAGTTGGTGTCACTATATTGAGAGACCGAATTCGGTGGCTTGGATATGTACTACAAATGTCACCCCATCGGATTGCATTTCGTGCACTATTTACCGACGCTGATAGTGGTTGGAAAAAAGGAGAGGCGGTCAGTTTATAACATGGTATCGTGGTATGAGATAGAGCTGTACAGAACTGGCTTCTGTTGGTCCTCCACGACTTTTTTGAGGGGTCATAGGAATGGTGGAACACAGTGACTTGATAAGTTACCAGGCATGGCTTTCTCTATCTCCTCACGATATCACTTTTATTGTGTGGCTCAGGCATATTCTGGTATTCGTTTGGACCAATATTTATATGTTTATTAGTATTGTTATTTGTAAATTCTAGGTTACTTACTGTTAAAAAGAAGGTATAAAACTATAAATCTATTTATCAATATATATATATATATATATATATATATATATATATATCCCCTATTACATGGGCATGTGGTTAATCTTTTAACTGAACAACCTATTCGAATTAGCTCAAAGTATACTCATATTTCTTTAACTACTAACAGATTTAGTCTCAAAACTATGGGAGGATATATAGAAATCTGTCAATAAATGAATCCAATACAAATATCGATCAAACATATATACAAAATTAGAAAGTTTTATTCATTGTTAGATATTTAAGACAAGTCACTCAATGTCGAGTCACTTAGACTAGTGACCACATTTCAACTTGGTCGATAGCATTCGATCTGCCCTAAGAAGGGTTTGACACATATGACAATGATCACCATCTAGTGATCAATCAATTGTGAAGACAAGTTATTTGATTCGAGATACTATGCTTATTTCCTGATTGTATACTAATGTTGATGCTGTTAGGCTAAGGAAACTAATATGTTGGGTGGTTGAAGATAGTTGTCTGGAAACCCTAGACCGAGGTTAGCAAAGAGGACCTGGAATCCAAAGGGAACTGGTACTCCCTGTGGTATGCTAAGTCACGCCGCTCGACATCATAGTCGGTTATCATTGGTCTATTTTGACTGTGGTTAGTACATTTCATCCATCAGTCTTCTGAAAGCTGGAAAAAAGATCCTACATTTTTGTCAACACTAAACCTACCATATATTTGTGTTTAGTGAAACTACGAACATTCAGTGTTCATGGCTTTTACCAGAAATAATCTTCACTAGATTAATTAACTTGTCAACTTATCGGTCACTTACAATTTATGGATCATAAATAATTTTCTCACATAAGTATTCGTCTATACCAAATTGGTCTTTACCAATATAAATTGGTCTTTTACCAAAGAGGACTTATAAACTGTACTCCTAGCTGTCAATATGTATTCATAGTCAGTTTTGTTCACGTCCCCTATGAAGATGTACAAATTTTTGATCGGAATTGTATCGTTTATCGAACGGAACTTATTTTTAAATTAGTTGAACCTCCACAGTCTCTAATTAGGATGAAAATTTCTACTCTGTTAGACATAATCTACTTTATGAACAATCCACAATGGTGATTATTTGATTATTGCGAGTACAAATCAATCTATTGAAGAATATAAAAGACTAGAATTCAAGGTACATAAAGTTTCGTCAACATAAGTAATAAATCTACTATCAATATAAAATTGTGGGGACTGTTGAATTTTAATTAATATCATGAACCGATCAATGTCAGATGATTATTAAAAACCTGGAAGCACAATACGGCAGTTTCGTCCTAGTATGGGACTCCTGAGCAGTTCGTAAATTTATCCCTGACTTTACGACTGAAATCTTACAAATAAGAAATATATGCAAAAGTGTCAAAAAATCGGATAAAATAATAGTTTTTTGTTGATTTTTCTCTTTTGTCTTAAAAAGTTTTTAACCACTAAACAGACTTCGATAGTTTAATGAGTTATTACATGTATTTCAATATAGTAGTGGGGTATATGGACAAATCTATACATCAACAGAAAATAAAGTAAGACTTCTTAGTATCTAGACGTTCCAGAAGCTGGCTGTTATATGGTAAAATCAGTTAATTACTAAGGAAATGCATTCATATAGCTATCAAACTGATGAACTATTCTTTAACCCTGCTTCAAATTTTATATATTTGCTTTCATATTACTTGTGAATAACTCAAAACGATTTGAATGATTATATTAAATCTAATATAATGAAAATTTTATTTATATATGTAAATAATATTTGAATTAGATTCCCACTCTTTAGTCTCAGAAATTTATAGGTTTCCAGAAAATTTGTCATTTACATACGATCAACATTTGATCAATGTATAGATGATTACGGGAATTTTATAAACTGTCAGTTTTTGGAGCCTATTTCGTTTGTCTCTAGTTCAGTTAATCTAAATTTCATGTATTAAGTATAATCTATTTACTGTAAACTAAAATTAATATTTCTCCTTACCGTCATAAGTCTAATAATATTCATTTGTGTGTAGTCGATAGGATTAAACAAGAGATTCCAATCGATTACCTACAAATACCCAACTTCAAAAATGTGTACTAGAATGATTCATTTTGTATTGTTTGTTTGTGTCTTCCTATTGATGTTTAGGACTGTAGTTGATCAGTCTCTTGTTGGAATATGTACATCCTGTAAAGATTGCCTAGATATTGCCTTAGTTCACAAGCATTATAAGCAAAGATGGATGGTGACTAACAGTGGATTCCAAGACGCGCGTTTCGTCCTAATTTGAACTCCTCAGCCAGATATACTTGCATCTCAGAGTTGATGTTCACTCTAGGATACAAACCCAGTACCGTTCACTTCAGACGCCATCGCTTTATCGACTCAACCACTGCAATGTTAATTCACTTGAACTAGTGACTACGTTAATACATAGTCGATAGAATTCAGTCAACACTATGTACTAGATGTTACATCAATTACATTTAAGCGGTGAATTAATGTAAAATCAACCTGTCATTCTAGTTGAATAAATTTCTAGCTTAACCTTATATTCAATTACCTTATTTTATGTGCTTTTACTACAAATTGCAATTAAATATCATTAAACAAAGGATTTAGAGATTATATTTGACTCTTTTTAGTAAACTTTCCATATCGTTCTGTTTTAAATGCTGAGCTTAAATAAGTGCGATCCAAAAGTTCACTTTTTCGAATTCCAACTGTTATGACCTTACCTATACGATCATCGCGAAATACGATTGCCAATTTAGATACGCTGACTTATACGATCAACTAATGACGCATACACCTGTATGAACAGCCTATAGTCCCAATTGGTCTTTTTCTCGCCTAACCATACCTGTTAAGTCCAGAACGCCAATCTCAGCCTCCACGATACCAATCGTATATTTCAAACATACTGGGTTTATATACAAACAAATCAAACCATATCACACCATAAAATAGAAAATATCATTTGTACAAGATCTAGCCAAAAATAGCTGTGTTTGT